GCAGGGAGCCGGGAGGCTGCGGCCTCTGCTGGAAAGACGAGGCTGGCGCCAAGGGGCGGTGGGGCGGCGCCGGGCGCTGAGCGTGTTCATGGTGTTCCTGGGCCGGGCCTGATTCATTTCTTTAAGTGTTTGGGCTTCGGGTGGGGGGAGGCTAACCCCAGCAATGGATGGTGCCCATGACAGGGGGTCACATTGCCTGGGGTCCCTCCGCCCGGGCGCACATGTGCTTATTAAGCTAATGAATATGATATTGCTGCCGCGGTCACCCTCGCCTCCGCCGTGGAGCTGGGGACAGACACAGTCTCCTCTCGGGAGCTCCCCGGGGGCAATAAATCAGGGGTCGGCCTCGTGGCTCATCAAATTGCTTCTTTTTAAATGGCCACCCTTCCCACGAGCGGGGAAGGTGACATTGCGGCCCGGGCCTGCACACTCTCCCGGGGAAGGACGGCCCCTGAGGACGTGCGCTCCACCCGCTGCATCAGAGGTCAGAGCTGGGACAGGGTGCATGGCAGGGCCGTCCAGCGTGCGTGGGGGAGGGGGGTGGGGGGGTGCCGGCGTGGACACGCCCCGCTCCCCCGGGCTTGGCCGCACACACCTGCTGGATTAGTGAGTCGCGTTTTCATCAGATGCCCCGTTGGGACCTTCAGGCCCTTTCACGAGAAAGGGGTCCCCGTGCGGCTCCCACCACAGGCTCCCAGCCTTTCAGCGGGGCCTCCAAAGCCTTGACTCCATGTTTATGAATCGAAGATTCTCAACCCCAACCCCAGGCGTCTTAACTGAATAAGCTTATCCACAGGCTTGGCATCCCCTGTGTTAACCCAAAGGTGTGGGAAGTGGCCACGGCCTGGACAACCTTTGGAGGAGGTTGTTCAGAACGTCAGTCTCCCTTTCTCGGTTCCGTCTGTGCGCGAGGCCCCTCTTGGCGCGGTCATCAGTGGGAGGCAGGCGCAGGCTCCAGGGTCAGTCCTGCTTTACCCTCCACTCCGCTCCTTCCCACCAGGGCATCTTGGGCACAAGACTCCCCCTCGGGCCTCAGGCTCCTCATCTGAGACATGGCGATGATGATCCCTCCCTCCCGGCGCCTCAGGTGCAGCGCACTTTGGGGTGAGTGCAGACGCTCGCCAAATGTTAGTTCCTTTCCAGACACTCCACTAAGTGCTCCTGGGAGCCGCCTCCAGGCAGGGGGCCCACCGGGGTCACCTGTGGGGGTGAGTGCCGGCTTGGTGATCAGCCCAGGAATGGGGGTCTCGCGGGCACGCGTTGGCTGGGTATTAGCAGATATCACGGTGGGTGCTGCCAGGTCCGGTTCCAGGTGCCTGGGGAGGGCAGCCGAGAGAGGCCAGTGCTCCCTCCTGGGGCTGGCATTCCAGGTGGGGAGACACACCCCACGCAGGTAAACAGACAAATGGGGCGGCTTCAGATACACAAGTGAGGAAGGCCGCGGGCTGATGGGGTGGAGCGGGACTGGGCAGAGGGTGGACCGCGAAGCCTCTTGAAGAAATGACATTTGAGACCTGGATGGTGAGGCGAGGCAGCCCCGGCACATCCGCGGGGAAGGTTTCTGAGAGCAGAGGCACGGGCCCAAAGACGCGGGGCTACAGCGCCGGGCAGGGCGGGGTGGGGGGGGGTGGGGGGTGGGGATCGAGAGGAAGGCCAGGGTGGCTGGAGGGCAGGAAAATGGGGGACGTGGGTGATGAGGTGGGAAAGGGGCATTCTGAGGGGAGCCCTGGGCCTTGGGGGCTGTAGAGAGGAGAGAACCTGCCCAGCAGCTGCACAGGCCTGATGCCAATGCCGCCGATGCCAGGGGCTGTGGCCATGGTGGGGAGGGGGTGCCCAGGGGGGCTGCGTTCAGGTGGGCGGTTGAGAAAAAGGCTGGGCTCCCAGACAGTGGCAGCACGGGGCACAGGCCCTGGGTCCCCCCACCCCGCCCTCTCGAACAAGTGCCTGCCTCTCCCTGGGTCTCTCCAAGGGTAAGGTCCCCCGAAAACATGCCTTCTGGAGTCCCACTGTGAGCGGCATCCACCAGCACCCCCAGCAGAGGGAAATCTTTAAAACTCAAATCAGCACGTCCCTGTCTCCCTCACCCTCGTCCCCGGCTCCACCTCCCTCAGAGAGAGCCCAAAGCTCCCCCCACAGCCTTGCTGCCTTCTCCCTCCCCGAGTCCCCTGCCCATGGCCTCTGCCCTGCCGGTCCCTCTGCCCAGATGCCCATCCCAGGCCTTGCAGGGACAGGCTCCTCACCCTGCCCGTGCCCTCCTGTCCTTGTCCACCAAGCTGAGCCGCCCCGCACCTGCTCCCTATCCACGACGCCAGCGCCCATCCTCAGACAGACTCATCCACCCAGTGGAGACGGGTCCGCCGCCACCTCCCCCAACGGTGTCCTCACAAAGAGGCAGTGACTCTCTTGGGGGCTGTTGTCACTGCCCGATCCTCAGCAGCTCAAAGACACAAGTGACTCCGTGCGGGCCGAGCGGATGACCCGAGTGGATGCTCACGACAGCCTGGAGGCTGGCACGTTCACCATCCCATCCACAGAGAGAGAAACTGAGGCTGCAACGTGGACGCCACCTGCCCGAGGGGCGGGGCCAGGAGCCAAGACTCTGGTGGAGATGGCATGACCTCCGACACCTGCCTGTGCCCTGTTCTTGACCCGCTGGAGGCCCTCGGCCTCCGAGTTAGCCTCGGGGCTGTCATCCAATCAGTGGGTGTAAACCCGGCCCCACCTTTCCCTCTAGGTGGTGGGGACACCTGGGAGACACCCCTGAAGCAGACGCCCAGTCACCTGGACAGCGCCCCACCCGGGACAGGTCAGCAAGAAGGGGCTCCAGGCCAGGCCTGTCCTGGGAAGGGTTAATGTGGCCTCTTTGTCCCCTGGTTGCCATGGGGACAGTTCCTGTCCTTCAGGAAGCAGGGAGAGCAGTTTCCTGTTTTGCAGAAGGCTGGAGGGCTGTTTTCCTCCAATCAGCCCGCCCAGAGGGGCAGGAAGCCCAGGGCTGGCTGCTGGGTGTGTGGTGGAGACTTGCCCACGCCCAGCCGGCCAGGAGGGGCTGTTGTGGAAATGCAGCCTCGGGAAAAAGCCAGCCGGCCAGCACAAGGAAAGAAAATGGCTGGCCGGAAGAGGGCGGTCACTTCCCCCACAGACCTTGGATCCCACCCAGTGGTGATAAAAACTCTGAGCTGGCCCTGCCCGGTGTGACTCCCCTCCCCCAGTGCTCAGCCCCTCCTTGGGGAGCCCAAGGCCTGCTGGCAAGACCCTCTAAGCTCCTGTGTGCCCTCCCACCTGAGCACATCCTGCCCCCTGGGCATTCCAACCGCCACCAGCCCCAGTTCTCACCCCAGCCCCGACCTGGCATACCCCTTTCTGCTCTCCTCTGCTTGTGGGATTCCTTCAGTGTACACAGCAAAGCTAGCCTCCTCCTGGAAGCCCTCCCAGTCTGCATTTGAGCCCCTGCAGTGGAGAGCCAGGGGCATTCCTGAGTTCAGCCTAATCTCTTGGGGACCTGTGCAGCTTCCTCAGATCATCCTGCCGCCAGGCTTGCCCGTCTGACTCCCCCACCACGCTGATACCACCCAGGTCTGACCATGTCGCTCCCTCCACAGACACGCTCTATGGCTCCCCATCACCTGGGAGGTAAAGTTCCAACTCCTTGTTCCCACTGGAGAGCCCATCTGTGACTCACCTTGACCTGCCCCTGCCTTCTGCTTCCCACTCCAGGTGGGGCTCTTCCCCTACCCGACTCCTCCACACGGCAAGGGCCACTTTAAAGCCCGGCCCAGCTCTTCTCCATCCCTCAGCTCAGTCCAGAGTCCTGCTATCACCCCAGCTGCGTGGCATTACTGGTAGCCGCCCCTCCGCTCTCCCTCCAACTCCACAGCAAGCAATTGGAGGGCAGGCGAGGGAAGAGGGAAGAGGACTAACAGGCCTTTCCTTTCATCCTCACCACAACCTGGGGAGAGGACTGAGGTGCAGAGAGGTGAAGGGTCTTGCCCAAGGCATGGAGCCAGTGATGGGTGACTCCAGAGGTCTCCAGACCCCCAGCCACCCCTCAAGTCTGACGCTGTGTATACGGTGAAGGTGGGAGATGCCTGAGCAGAAATTATCAGACTTTCCCACCACCGATCCTTGGGGTACGGGAAGCACAGGCAGCCTTGCTATCTATGACTGTGTCCACCCCTGCAGGTGTCTGGCTCAGATTTGTCCAACCCTGGAGCAGGAAGTCAAGCCGGCTACTGTACAGGGAAGAGGCGGACTGGAGCCGTGGCGTGAGAGAGCCGAGCTGTCCAAGGGGTTACCGGGACAGCAGCCCGGGAGGCTGCAAGACCAGTGGCTTCTGCTGTAATGACATGCACCTTATCCCGGAGACAAAAGGTACACCTGCAGAAAACAGGACGCCCGGGAGACTCCGCCACGGAGTGGCTGTGAAGGTGGCAGGCCTGGGCCCTACCCAGCTTTATGGATGAGTCCCAACAACACCCAGGTGGTTACCCCTCAGAGCTGGGGCAAGAAGTGGAGCCCAGGTTTCCTCCCTGGCCTCCTGCTGGGCTCCCACCTGGCCCTCTATATTGCCCATCCCCGGTGTGCCCTGATTGTGGATTCCTGTGTCCGAGGCCCTGGAGTTTGTAAATATTGCTTGAGTACCGACTGTGCTAGACATCTGAATGACAATGACGTTTCATGGATGCCTCCTGTGTTCTTTCCCCTGAAGGCTCTGGATGAATTATCTCATTTAATGAGCAGACACTGTTATCATCCCCACTCCACGGGGCCAGCATGCTGAAGTGGGTAACAAATGGGGCCTCAGAACCTTGGTGGGAGCCCCACAACTTACTGGCTGTGCATCCCTTGCAAGTGTGTCAGCCTCTCTGTGCCATAGTAGCCTCACCTGTAACATGAGGATAATAACATTGCCTGCTTCATAAGCTTGCTGAGAGGATTAAATGAGCCAATATTATATACAAGATACTGAATGCACAAAATAAACACTCAGCAAATACCAGCTGTTATGGTTTACCAGCAGGGAAACTGAGGCGCAGTGACTTGCCCCTGATCACACCCAGGTCTGTGCAACTCCTAACCACCGCATTCTACCGCCTGTCTGGACAGTTAGGGGTGGCTGCCCTCAGGTCACATGCGCTCTGGGTGCTCTGTTGTTTCTGGCAAGCAGGACCACCTCCAGTTTTAGTTTGCAAAGCCCTGCACTTTGCTGAGGCTTCGGGTGGCGGGAACAGGGAGCTGGATCTCAGCGGTTTAGATCTGAGGTTACCTAAGCTGTGTGTAATTAGCCCCAGATGGCCTAAGGACAATAAAAAGACAGGAGATATTTGCTTACCAGGAGAATCCTGATCTTTTATGCCACATTATGCATGAGTGTTAGTGAGAAGTGTGTGTACATGGCGGGGTGGGGGCTTCACTGGGGAGGAGCCTGGGGGTCTTACAGGATCCACAAGGGGTGACTGATTTCAGAGGTGCCAGGGAACCAATCAATCCCACAGCACGAGTGAAAAGGCATGTGGGGGGCATTGGGAGGTCTGTGTTTCCCCCATAATGCTCTCATCAAACTAAAGGGTGATCTGTCCTTGGGGGTCCTGCTTCTTCACCTGGCCTGGGGCTCCAGAAGGCATGGAGTGAGTTTCGCTTGGTTACCTGGTAGCTGGCACAGAGTAGGTACTTGGTGTATTTTTGTGGAAGGAAGGAGGAAGGAGGAAGGAAAGGAGAGCAGGCAGGTGGGGAGGAAGACAGGTCAGCCCCCTAGGATTTTGGTCTAGATTCTGCCCTATAATCCTGGACTAATGAGATTGTATGTGACTAGCACAGGGCGGGGGACAGGCAGACCAACGTTTAGTTCCAAGTCCAGTCTTGAGACAGTCTCTCCCCATTCTGATCTTCAGTTTTCTCATCTATAAAATGAAAATAATGGTAAAAACATCTCGCATTAGCACAAGAAGCATGGAAATGGGTCAGCAGAACAAACCGCGCAGTAGGTGACAGCCGTGGTGGTGCTAGGGATATCCGGCACGATTGTCATTGTTAGGACGGTCGGCTGGTCCTGCCACAGCTTCCACACCTGGTGCTGGTCCTCCGGGGTCCTTCCCTGCACGTCTCCAGGCTCCGGGGCTCCCGGGGCTGCCTCAGGACCAGAGCTGGCCCCCTTGTCCATCCCTTCCAACAGGGGAAGTTCATCCTGAGAAGCTGGGAGCTGCTGGCTGTCCTGACCCTCCAAGGCAGATGGAAAGAAGGAGGGCAGGAAGGAAAGAGAAAAAAGAAGGGGGTGAGCGAAAGAAGGCCTGCTAGGGAGGCCTGACACCTGCAGGGGACCCGCCTCAAAGGTGCAATGCCCCTTCCCTTGCCAGCCTTCAGTGGAAAGTGGGGAGGCTCCTGTCCTCAAAGAGAAGATGCCCATGTGGATTCCAGCCAGCGCTACCCCCCCCCCGCCACCCCCCCCCCCCCCCCCCCCCCCCCGCTAACTCACCATGTGATCCCACCACCGTCTGGGCCTCAGCTTCCCCGTCAGTCACGTGGACACGGCACCTGTCCCTGGCAGGCGAGAGTCTGCAAGAGCAACAGCCAAAATGATGAAAGCGGGAAATCAATGCCCCTGTTTTGCTCATCACAGAGAAAAGGGGGTGTTCGTCTGTCTGGGCTATAAGAGCAAATCATTTGCCCTCTCTGGCCTATTTTCCCAGATGTGAAGTGGGGGGTTAATAATCTCTTTGTGGGGATCCGGGGAAGAAAATAAGTGTGAAAACTTCAGAGGCAGAGCAGGGAGGGTCATTCCCGCCATGCCTCTGTCCTTCGTGGGTGTGGACAGCCATACCCCAAGTTCCGTGCCGGTGGTGGCCCGTGCCACAGGGACTAAGCAAGTGCACCCACAGGCATTAGCAGCGAAGTTCTGGAAGCCTGTGGTCTTTCACATCCATTTTCTCTTATTAAGAAAAGCAAACAAAAGATAAACATTTCAGCCTCACAGCCTGTCTGTCATCCCACACCAACATGTGGTTTCACCTACACAAGTTCAGACCTGTGGGTTTTCCCCACTGTCACTGGTGCTGTGATCTTTCTAAGCAGACTTTGCTGAGCCGCAAATCCCAAATTCAACAGTCTCGGAAAGGGCTTAGCAAAGCATTGAGGTCTCTTCCTGCCATGCTGGCCCCTTTGCATTATCCACGCCTCCCTCTCTTGCCTCTCTGCCCAGGGGTCCTAAGTTATATGGGTTTAATTATGAGTTGCCCAAAATAAACTCATTTGCGCCCATAGTCAAACAGATCCCTACCTTCTTTACCACAGTTCCACCCTGCATCACCTCTACTACCTCTGACAGCTTGACCAACCCCACCTCCCCTACTGTCACCGCTGCCACCCCAATATCACCTCATCCAACCTCCATCACTTCAGCCAGTTCCATCACCTGTCATCTCTGAGTGTCCACCATCTCTAGCTCACCTGTTGGTTCTGCTACTGTTCCCTCCACCACCATGGCTACTCTATCACCTCCAACACTTCTACCACCTAACGACTTCTCCCTCCTTTGTCCCCAACCTCCCCCATCCCCAACATCGCTGCCACTGTCAACTCCCCCATCACCACCTACTTCACCATCTCCACCAGCTCCATGCAGTCATAGAATGTATTAAGAGCTTAAGTAACACAAATCCTGGATGGAGTTTTTTCAATTCTGGAAACTCAGTATTTCTCCGCAGAAGGCCGGAGGCTTAGGGACTCTGTTGGCAACTCAGTGATGAAAAAGACATTTGAAAGAATCAAATTCAACCCCCAATGGGGAAACCGAGGCCTGGTGATGGGCAATATGGGTGCTTGGGCTCTGGAGTTGGGGTTTGCCCACCCTGACATAGGCTGACAGTTCTGCATATCTGGGTCATTTCTGGGACGGGGAAAGGCGTGCACAGACTTGAGGGATGGTAGCGGGAGGTGTTGACCCTGTGTGCTGACTGAACAAAGAAAGGGAGCTTTCAATATCACCTCCTCCAGGACGCCTTCCTAATCATTTAGTCTCTACTCAAGCGGTTCCCAAACTTGGCCTCACCACAGAATGACCTGAAGGGTTTGCGAGACATGATTTCCCATTCAGGGTCCGGGAAGAGCCCCGGGAATTAGCATTTCTGACGCCTCTCCAGCTAGTGCGCTCATTTTTGAGAGCCAGATTCCTAAGCCTGCCTCGTCTCCCTCGAGCACCTGTCACCGCGCGGTGGCACGTGTCGGTTACTTGTCTGGCGTCTTGGCTGTGCCTCCCCTTAACTTCCACGGAGGCGCGCACCGGGGCTGTCCAGTCCCGTGCCGGGACTGAGAATAAAGGGCGCGAAGACCGTTGGCCGAGGGACCAGAAAGTCCCCAGAAGTCCTCCTGCCGGCTTCCCGGCCCCCGCGCAGTCAGAGCCGAGTCCCTCGCGCGCGCGGCTCCCCGGGGCCCGCGGCCACGGCCCCTTTAAATGCGCGCGGGGACGCCTCGCCCCCCGGCTCCCTCGGTCCCTGACAGGGCGGCGAGGAAAAAAAAAGCCTTCCTCTCCGGGCGCGGGAGGAAACGTCTAGGAGGGGGCGGGGGCCGGCGGCCGCCACAGCAGCGCCGGCTGAGGCGCGGCGGCCAGAGCGCAGCGCGCCCCGCGCGGAGCCGGGAGCCCGAACGGCCGCGACGCGCCCGCGCCCCCTCCCCGCCGCCCCCGGGCGCTCCGGGCCCCCCGCCGGCGCGGCCCCGCCCCCGCGCCCCCCGCGCCCCCGCGCCCCCGCGCCCCCGCGCGCCCCGCGCCCAGCCCCGCGCGCAACCCCGAGCGAACGCGCCGCCGCGCGCCGCCCCGGCCCCCGCCCCCGCGCGCCCCGCGCGCCCCCGCGCGCCCCCGCTCGCGCCCCCTCCGCTCCCTCGCGGCGCCGCCCAGCCCCGAGGCCCGCGCCCCGCGCCCGCTGGTCCTGCGCGCCGTGCGGACTCCGGCGCGCGCCGGGGGCGGGGCGGGCGCCAGGGGTGCGGGCCCCGCGGGGCGGCCATGGAGTGAGGCGGCGCCGACTCGCGCTCGGACCGACGGACGGACCGACGGGCGGCCGGGGCTCCGCGCGCTGGAAGATGAACAGAGCAGGTAGGAGGCTGCGCGCCGCCGCGGCGCAGGGGGGCGTCCTCGGGGTCCCGGCCAGGTGCTCAAGTTGGAGCCCGCGGGGCGCCCCGAGCGAGAGAACCCCCCGACCCTCCCACTCCGTCGGCAGCGGTCTGGGCGGGCCCGGAGTCCCCACGTCGGGGAGGCTGACAGTCCCGGGGGCCCCGGCCCGAGACGCCCCGCCTCAGGGACGCCCCCTCTGTCTGGGCGAGGCCGCGCCCGGGCTCGCTCGCCCTCACCCCGCTCTCGCGGCCGGCCCAGAGCGAGGGTCCCCTGGGCAGCAGAGAAAGACGCCCCTTGCACTAGGGCGACTCGGTCGCACCCCTCAATCAGAAACCCCGCTCCTCGGGCGCCCCAGAATGGCCCCTGGCCACAGGGCACGGCCGGGTCTCTCACACCGACGTGTATTCCTGGTGCTTCAGAGCCGGAGGCGCACCCTTCAGTGGATTCCCGCACCCCTCTTTCTCCCTGGACCCCGAGACTTGGAACTCGCGCGCCGGTGGGGACTAAAAAGCCCTCCATTATTCTGGGCGCAGCGCACCCCTCCCTCGCGGCGCCCTGGCCCGGGGCCCTCTTTGTGCCGCCCTCCGGGGAGCCGAGCGCCGGGGGGCCACGGCTGAGGCCGAGCCGCGCTCCGGCGCCCCTCCCTGCCCGGGCGCCTGATGCCGCTAGTTCACGGGCCAGGCGAGCCCCGGGACGCCCTTGGGTGCTCGCGAGCCCTCCAGAAGGTGCCATTTCACAGACTCGGGCACTGAGACCCCGAGATGGGCGGCGCCTGGAATCCGCTTCTGGTTCCCGACTCCATCCCGGCGGCACAAAGTTCCTCCACCGCGCGAGTTCGCGGGGAGCAGCCCCGGCTCACTCCATCCCGAGCCCGCGGCGCGCCCGGCGCGCCAACTTCTTTCTCTTGGAATTTCCAGGGAGGCAGCCCCTTCCCCAGCCAGCACCCTCGCCGGGACCCGCACTCCCAGCACACGGCCCTGAAGAAACAGGAAGCCACCATTTTGCCTGTCTTAGAACCATATCCTGCTGCCGTGTGTGCTGTGGGCTTTTTTCTTTTTTAAATCTTTTCAATGAAAAAAGTCATTGTCCCCGGGCGCGTGAGGTGCGGGTGGAGATTCTGGGCTGGCCTGATCTGACAAAGGAGCCCCTTGGAGTCCAGGGTCGTGGGAGCGGCCGCCTCCCGCGTCCAGGCCCTGCTGTCGCTGGGCTGTGGACCCCTGGACTGTGAGGGAGGTGGGTGGCAGAATGGGGGCCGTGGGGGCAGGGGTGCCACTCTGTGCATTGGGAAAGCCTGGAGCAGGGTCCCGGCGCCCATCCGGCCACTCCTGGGAGGAAGAAGGTGGCCCCCGCCTGCGGTGGCACCGCGCACGGAGCCCAGCTAGCTTTCCCCTGCCTCCCAATAAAACTCGCTGGGAAACAATGGTGAGAGCAGTTTCAGAGCTAGAGGTTCAGGCCGCCCCCTCCCCCACTTTCAGAGACTCTGGGGGATGGAGTGAGGCAGGCAGAGGACATTTAGAGTCATTTTCCGCATAGGACATTTTGCCAGTTGCCACTCTTGCTTTCTGCCGTCCTAGACAAACCTGGATACGTTTCCAGCGTGCCGGGGTGATGGAAACCTCACGTCCTGGGACGAGGGGCCTTGCTCTGAGTTTCCTGGTCCTGTGGTGCAGGGGCTCTGAGGCTCAGAACCGCTATGCCCTTCCATACATGACCTGAGCATGTTACTAAATCTGTTTCTTCATCTGAAAAATGGGGATCATATGATTTTCTCTTTGGAGCTTCATGATTAAATAAAGTAAAACTTGTAAGGTGCTGTCACTGTCAGGTTGTAAGCTTAGTGGTCACTAACTGCCAGCTGACACTCACTGGGTACTTACTGTGAACCAGGGCATCTGCTTTTAAGTGTGCCTACTTTGCATCAATTCCATTTTCACAGTAACTTCCTTTTGAGGTGAGTTCTCTTGCTATCCCCACTTTATAGAGGGGAAAACTGAGGTGCAGGCATTATGTGGGCACAGGTTTGTGGGCACTGAATGAAGGACAGAGACAGGATTGAGAGCCTGTTTTTGATTTTGTTTTATCCAGTGTTTTTGTTTTATCCAGTACCTGACACATAGTAGGTGTACAGGAAAGGGTTGCCAGTTGACTCTGTTAGGCATCTTGTGTCTGTTACTTCCCTTGAACTTCTCAGTGGCCGTTTTTGTTTTTTTTAAAAAGGTGGGGGGAGGGAGGGAAGGTGTTCTGTTTCATAAAGAAAGAAACCGAGGCTCAGAGAGGCAAAGTGGCATGTCCAGGATCCCACAGACGAGGCCGAGCTGGGGTTGGAGTCCAGGTCTGTCTGAGCCTGGGCCTGTCGGTCCGGTGCTGTGCGGCGCTGCCTTCCTGTGCGTGCCCTGTTGTGGGTCACTGGGTTAGCTAACAGCAGTCTAATTAGAAATCATCAGGCTTGGCTTGGACATTCCAGCAGGCACCCAGGAATGAAAGTTAAATTTAGATTCAATTGGAAGGTGAAATTGGAAGATAATTACTCTTGGAACATATGGTTATGAGAATTCCAGGGGGAGCATAGTGAGCTGCAGTTGAAACAGATTTGGGGCCAGAAAGTGGGGACGTGGGGGGGCGTCATAGGAAGAGCCTTGAGTTTAACAGGCTGTAGTCAGCCAGAGCAGAAGGCACTTCCTGACTGTTCCTTGTAGTCCCTTCACTCTATAGGTGGGGAAGCTGAGGCTCAGAAAGGGAGGGACTTGTCCAAGGTCGTACCTCAGCTAAGGGCCCAGCCAGGAATAGAGCTCAGAGCTCTGGTCTCCCAGTCCCACGCTGCTCCTGACACCCGTCCTAGCTGACCTGTGCACAGCTGCCGAGGGAGCAGCAAGCATGAATGTGTGAGTGACAGATACTTAATTAAAATAGAGAAAGAAAATATAAACTGGAACGGGGGGGGGGGTGGTTGGCTGGGGATGATTTTTATCATGAGAGCTGTTAAAAATCTCTTTGTGTTGTCACTGTGGTTCCCCTACCCCTCAGTTAACTCTCGGCATCTTGGCTGGAACAAGGGCATTCCGCACTGGAGTCATCCTTGTGCTCAGCAAAGTGCTGGGAGATCCTGGGTGTTGGTCACTTGGGGTGGGGAGGCTATGCACACCCCCCCACCCCAGCTCTGTGATGCAGGAGAGGATTTCATGTAGCAGCCAGAGGATCTGAGGAGATAGCAGAAGTCTCCCCAGCTCCTTCCATGCAGGGGTCTCCACAGTCGCAAAGCTAAACTTAGCCCAGATGGGGAAACCCCGGCTCTGATTCATGATGAATTATGTAATCCCACCACCATCACTGCCATATTCTAAACCTCAGCCAAACTGATCCCGACTCTGCTCCTAGAGGGCTTTGCCTCTGGGTCTCTGCACACTCTGTTCCCTCCACCTGGAATACCAACTGCTTTTTCACACATGAAAGTCCTGCCCGTCCTTCTGCCTGCACCCTTGTGTCTCCTTTTCCCTGAGTCTTCTCTCGGCAGAATCGGTCATGACCTCATACTGAGGGCAGGGGCCTTATCCCGGTCCTTTCACAGAGGGAGGCGTGAGTGTGGGGAGCAGGGCTGGAAGCTTCACACTCCCTTCAGTCTCTCTGCAGCCTCCTCAGGCTCCTGAGGGCTCCCTGCTTGGCCCTGCTCCTTTCTCTGTCCACACTCCATCGCCTGGTAATCTCACCTGATTCATGCTTTAAATTCCATCTCTCTGCTGGCTGCCTCCAGCCAGACCTCTCCCCAGAGCCCAGACAGCCATCTCCGAGAGACCACTTGACAGCCCCGCCTAGGCGTGGCCGGCTAGCTCAGACTTGCACGTGCAAACTGAAGTCCCCGCACCTCACCCAGCCCAGCGTGGGGCAGCTTCCTTTTCCAGTCACTCAGTCCCCAAACCTTCATGTTCTCCGTGACTCCCCTCTTTCAGACACCCCACACTGACAGCACGCCCCACCAACTCTCCCCTTTATTTTCAGAATTTGACTCTTTTCATCACTTCCAAAGCCACCGGCCTCTCTCATCTCTTGCCTGGATTATTCAAGACCCTCCTCCCTGGTCTCCTGCTTCTCTTTATTTCGACACATGAAGCGCAGTGTGCATGTCCTTCTGCCTGGAGTCAGAGCCCAAGTCCTCCTGAGGCCTGCGGGCCCTGTGCACCCTAAGCTCTCCCCACCCCCGACCTCAGCTTCTGCTTTTCCCCTTCACTCCTCACTCATTCCTCTCCAGCCACCCTCGCCTCCTTGGACTTGCCAGGCGAGTCCTAATCTTTTCCCGTGGACTTCATGATCAGCTGACATACAAGATGTGACCTACTTACCTTTGTATTGCTTTTCTTCCACCATTTGAATATGAGGCCCACAAGGATCAGGGTCTTTGTTTTAGTTACTGATGTATAACCAGAATCTAGATAAGTGCCTAGCGCACACAGTAGGTGCTCAGTAAATATTGAATTGGATCAAAGGGAATTGGATGGGAGCAACTGAAAGTTACCCACCTTGTGGTCAGCTAGAACTTCTGAGCCCAGGACCCAACTTTATTTAAACGTCCTATCTGGATAGCTGTCCCTGGTCTCTCTGGCCTCAGTTTCCCTGCATTGTCACTTCTCTGCCTCACTGAATCTCCACGGTGGAGGAAATAGTCAGTGGCCAAATGGTTCAGGATGCAGGAGGCAGAAGTCCAGGATACAGGAAATCCACCTTTGACGCGGTGCCCCGCTCTGGACTCGCCGAGTAACCTTGCACCAGTTGCCTGCCCTCTCTATGCCTCAGTTCCCTTGGATTTCAGTGAGGGGCCCGGAAGGGCCCTTCTGGTTCTGGCATCCTTTGATCCCGGTGGGACACAGATGAAATGTCCTTAGCTTTGGAGCTGGAAGCAGGGGTGGGTGCTGCAGGGGTGGGCGCTGCCTGCTTGTTCCCAGGGGGCTCCCGTGGGGAAGGAATTTTCTTGCAGGATCACGCGTCACCATAACCTTTGCTGAGGAGATGGTGCCCACAGATCAATAGCTTGATTGGATGAAGGATGGGGTGGGGGTGGGGGCGAACCAGCCAAGGTGATGGTCGTTTTTCACAGCCCGTCTGTCCCTCTGTCAGGTCTCTTGGTGCCCTTGTGAAATGCCACCTGTTAAGGATGAGAAATGAGGTTTCCCACCCCTAGAGAATAATTTCATGCCAATACCTGACACCACACGTTGAAAGTCTGAAACTAATATTACGCAGCGTGTTAGGGTAGCGCGGGGCTTACATGGGGATGTGGGCTCGGCAAGGATTGCCTTGTTAGAGCCGTGGTAGCGACTGTTCGTGGAGTGCTCCCGTGTGACAGCCTCAGCACTTCACTCCCACAGCAGCCCTGCGAGAATATGTGCTACTGTTGTACCCGTTTTACAGATAAGGAAACTGAGGCTCAGGTTCATAGCTCAGGCTTTGAACCCACACAGCCGGACTCCAAAGGCCCAGCCTATTACCCCACATTGATGAGGAGCTTGCAGCCTCACTGTTTAAGCTTCAAATTTGGGGGTTTCTTGTATTCATTTAGACAGGTATTTTTCTAAACTGGGAAATAGTTGATTGCTTATGGGAACAAGGAGTTGCAATGTCACTTAAATCTTAAAGCCTCTGGGCCACTGTCTGGATGCTGGTGGCCGGGTGGGCGTGGCTGCCGACGACAAGGTGTGGGTTGGGGCTCACGCTGCTGGTATGTTGGTCTTTAGACACCTGTGACTCTCCCCTCTTCTCTCACAGTCAGTTACCACATCTTTTTCTTTTTAAGATTTATTTTTATGTATACAAGAACTGGGGTGTAGGCCAGAGGTGCAGGGGGCTGGGAGGATTCACCAGAGAGAGTGGAGAGCAAAACAGGCGGATCTACTGAAATACACCGCTGAGGGGAGCAGCAGGCGAGACAGGAGAGGTCTGCTGCACCATGTGGGTAGCTCCCTGGCCAGGGATCAAACTCATGCTGCAGTGGCTGGCAATAGCTTAGTAGCACTGAGCCTTTAACCCCTGCGCCACCAGGGAGGCCCAGTTACCGCATCTTATAGCTGGCAGCGATCCTGCTCTAACTGCCTCCTGTCACCCCTTCTAATTAGCTGTACTCCGGGAAACCAGACACCATGTTCATTAGATTTATGTGCAAAGTATAAGTAAAGAGGCTTCAAAATCAGGCCTCCAGGAGCCTGGGCTTTGTAAACCTGTGTTATTGCCTCTCCAGGCCTTTCTTATTTCCTTTGGGGCCTCAACTGAATTTCAGAGTTTTCTGTCCGATTAAGGGAGATGATACTGACTTTTTTTTTTTTTTTTCATTTATACAAGCACTGGGTACAGTCAGAAGCACGGGAGGGTGACAGGATTCACCAGAGACAGAGCAGGGAACAGAACAGGCAGACTGACGAAATACACTGCTGAGGGGAGCAGCGGGAGGCAGGAGAGGTCTGTCGCGCCATGTGGGACCCTCGCCGGAGGCCGGGGATCGAACTGGCGCTGCAGAGGCTGCGGGCAGCTTTGCAGCCCAGCGCTCAACTGCTGCACCCACCAGGGGAAGCCCGAGATGATACTGACTTTGAGGTGACTATAGGAAGATCCCATGGAGATGTCTAAAATCAATAGGAGGTGCTCAGTTCAGTCCTCCAGCCAATGTGGCTGGTCTGGACTGTGATGTTCTGTGAGTGTGCAGTACACTTTAGATTTGGGCAACTGAGCATAAGAGGAATGTCAAAACCTTATTAAGCAGGCCTAGATTAGTGATGACTAGAGTTTGAGGGCGTGAACAGGAGAAGCATCTGCCCACAGAACCCCAGTTCCTTTTATGTTCCACCTTCCTTCTGCTCCACCTTCCTTCCATCACGAACCAGCCTGGCATTCTGAGGCTGCTCTGTGTCTATCCCATCCTCAGTGTGGTGAGGAGGGTACAGTTGGACAGCCTTATCCACGGGCAGCAGGGAACCAGGTGGTATTTTGAAGCAGAGATGTCGGGACGGAGCTGCCTTCTTGGAAATCTACATTCCTCGCTCTGCCCACAGTATGGTGGGACCCTTAGGGGTGTGGGGCAGAAGCGATGCAGAACTGGGCCCTTCTCCTTGTCCATATGGCTTCTCTCCTGCGAAATGTAGCAGAGACTTCACCTTCCCCGAGAGGTCTTCCCTCGCCACGCAGCTTTGCTTCTCTGCAGCCGGTTGCATATCCAGTTTGCCCCCCCACTTTCTTTTCTGCCAGTAGGTCCTCAGCACCCATAAGGGAAGAGCCCTTTTGCAAATATCCATGTTGTAAAATACCAGGTAACTGCTCCCCTGGTATTTGGAAGCCCATGAAATTTGGATGCAGGGAAGTTAGCTAGACATCAATCTTGAAGCATGTGGAGTTCAGAAGTGACGTCGGAGTCATACATCACTGTCACTGACCTGTGCTGTGTCACCCTTGAGAGGGTGAGATCATGGTGCCTCAGTGATAATGCCAGTCCACAGCCTCCAGCTGCTGCTTTGCTCTTGTCAACCTCTCTCGGCTCAGCAGAGGTGTCCTCTTCTTGACCCCGCAGACCGTGCCATCCCCGGTGCTGTGCATGTGGATAGCAGGGCCAGGGAACTCACTGTAGTGTGCGTGTAAACTCCATGAGGGCAGGAGGGGCGGAGCTGGCAGGTCTAACATGGTCTCGTGGATACCCGGCACCCACCTCTAATGCATGGCTGGTGAATGAATGTGTGCGGTGATCTAGGCACCTTTACTGGGAGAGCACAAGATGCCATTCGGGTGGGTTACACTGGCTGGACTGTGGGTAGGAGAAAGGTCTGCTTGTTTGCTTACAGAATGAATTTTTAGGGAAGGCCTCGGGATTTTAAAGATGCTGGTGGAGGCTGTGAGCCTAAGAGACAAAGGAACATAATGGCCTGGTTCGCGGGGCTTGGACAGCATCGCCAGTGTTCTCTTCAGCGTGGTGAGTAGGAGACTCTGAACGGAAGAAAAGTTAACCATATTTTTGTCTCCTCCATGTCCTTACTTTCCATCCTTTAGATTCCCCAAAGCCACCAGTTGCTCCCAAGCCAAGGACTGCCAGTCCCTTCACGCCAGTGACGGCGCCCAAATTACCTTCGTCGCCCCGACCTGACGGTCTCCACAGCCCCAACTCCATGTCCAGGGGGCCGAAGCCCCCCATTGCCCCTAAGCCCAGGCTGGCTGCGCCCCACGAGTGGAGAGCCAGCGTGTACGTGATCAACAGCCTGAACAAATGCAGCAACGGGAAGCTGCTCTGCGTGGACCGGGGCCTTTACGACGAGCACCGGCCTGGCCCCGAGGGCCCCGAGCCCGCGGTGGAGGACTACATCGTGGCTCCCCGGGCTCCGCTGGCGGAGGAGGACGGGCCTGGTGATGGCTGCGGTGGGGAGAAGGCAGAGGAGCCTCCGGGGACCCCTGAGGAGGAGAAACAGCAGGAGCTGGGCGAAGAGTGCGACCCTGAGGGGACGGGAGCTGCTGAGGACTTGGAGGCCTCAGCTGAGGTGGCGCTGAGCACAGAGGGTGACGAAGGCGCCGCCCCTGCTCCCGAGGACCCGTGGGCCGAGGACGGTGCCGGGGACCCAGGGGCCGAGGAGCAGGTGTGCACAAGTGAGGAGGCGGAGAAGCCGCTGGAAGAACACAGCCTGGAGCCCGGGGACCCTTGGGCTGGCGAGACAGACTCCCAGGACCTCACTGGTGGTGGCGACGAGGCCCCCGAGACGGCCCTGGAGGCGGAGGATGATGGCGAGGACTCGGGCGCAGAACCAGGGGCGCCAGAGTGTGTGGATTCCGACCACCCTGCCGAGGGGGCTTCTGAGGATGCCAGTGAGGAGCCCCCGGAGCAGGAGGAATTGGCCGCGGGGGTCCAGGAGTGGGGAGCGGCCACCGTCAGCCCTGAAGTCTTGGAGGAGGAGTGTGTGGACGGCACAGGCGGCCGCTGCCAGGACGAAGCACCAGAGCAGGATGAGAAAACAGACGGAGAAGAAACGGCAGCCGTCACCCCCGAGGCGGGGGAAAACCCCCAGGAAGGCGGAGGTCCCGGGGAGGAAGAGCCTGCGGAGGAGAGCTGCCACATCGTCCCTTTCGAGAGCGACGGCATGGACGACTTCGTGACCGCGCTCTCGGCAAGCCCCTACCAGTTCTTCCCGACGGAGAGCACCTCGTTCTGCAGCGAAAGCTACTCTCCGTCGGCCGCGTCCGGGACGGGCTCAGCGCCGGAGCAGGAACCAGAGTCTGGGGACCGTGCGGAGCTGGACCCGGTGGCCTGGCCTCCGTGCAGCCAGGAGGGTCCCGGCATCTCTGATGTGGCGGCTGTGCCGGAGGAGGACGCCACGGACGACTCTCTCACCAGCCCCTACGAGATGGGCCTCGAGTGTGGGGCGGCCCTGGGGGAAGCAGAGCGGCCTGAGCTGCAGGCGGCGTCCGATGCCCTGAGCGGTCTTGGGGAGACGGCGATCAGTGAGGCCGAGGGCGGCCTGCTGCCCCCGGATGCGAAGAACATCAGCAGCAGGGCCAGGCCCCACTCCGGGAAGCTGACTGGCTACGTCCCCGAAACTGTCCCGGAAGAAACCGGCCCAGAGGCAGGCTTGTCGGCTGCTGGCGTTGCGGCTGCCTCCGAGGAGGCCAGGAGGACGGCGTTGTCCTGGGAGGGGAAGCCGCTGGAGGCCGGCAGAGCCTTGCCCGCCAAGCCCCGGGCCTTCCCTTTGTACCCGCGGTCGTTCTCAGTGGAGGGCCGAGAGATTCCGGTGTCCGTGTACCGCGAGCCGGAGGGGTCCGGCCTGGACGACCACAGGATCAAGAGGAAAGAGGACAACCTCTCTCTGCCCTGCGTCATCGGCTCCTCCGGGAGTTTCTCCCAGCGAAACCACCTCCCGTCCAGCGGCACCTCTACACCGTCTTCTGTGGTTGACATCCCCCCGCCTTTCGACCTGGCCTGCATCACCAAAAAGCCCATCACGAAGAGCTCCCCCTCGCTCCTGATCGAGAGCGACCCCCCAGACAAGCACCCCAAGAAGAAGAAGTCGTCTTTCAAGCGGTTCCTGGCGCTGACCTTCAAGAAGAAGTCGGAAAACAAAGTGCACGTGGAGGTGAACCTGTCTTCCTCCAGGTCCTCCTCGGAGTCCAGCTACCACGGGCCTGCCAGGCTCCTGGAGATGGACCGGAGGAGCCTCAGCAACTCCCCGCAGCTTAAGACTCGCACCGGCAAGCTCCGGGCCTCCGAGTCCCCGTCCTCCCTCATCTTCTACAGGGACGGCAAGCGCAAGGGCATCCCCTTCAGCAGGACGGTGTCCAGAGTGGAGTCCTTCGAAGACCGCTCCCGGCCCCCCTTTCTGCCCTTGCCCCTGACCAAGCCACGCTCCATCTCCTTCCCCAACGCCGACACGTCAGACTACGAGAACATCCCCGCCATGAACTCGGACTACGAAAACATCCAGATTCCGCCTCGGAGGCCTGGGAGGGCCGGCACGTTCACGAAGCTCTTTGAAGATCAGAGCAGAGCCCTGTCCACCGCCAACGAGAACGACGGCTACGTGGACATGAGCAGCTTCAATGCCTTCGAGAGCAAGCAGCAGAGTGCAGAGCAGGACGCAGAAAGGTACCGTGACATTCCCTGGCTCTGTCGTGCCGCGGCCGTGACTGTCCTGGAGGCAGGCGTGGGTGGAGGGGACGGGGTGGGCTGGTGTTTAGAACCCAGGCCCTGTTTCTTCCCAGCGGTGTGGCTCAGGCAAGTGGCTTTACCTCCCTGAGCCTCAGTTATTTCATCTGTGAAAAGGGATCTGTTCTTCCTCGTGCAGAGTGTTTGAGAAGATCAGAGTAGAGAATCTGTGTGGAGGCATTTTCCAAAATACCGAATGTGGTACAGACATGAGTGTGTGTTTCCATTAGTTGGGGGACATTTCTTATCTTCTAGGTAGATGACTTTGCCACTCCCCTCTGGGAAAGTCACCAAGAGAGAAGGTTCTGGAATCTGGCCAATCTAAATATCTTACACCCTCGGGAAAATACCCTAAATTAAGATTGATACTTTTTTATTGTGTAAATATGCTCTCTAGTCAAGGGAACTAGGAAAGACTGTTTAAATTGTTTAGAGAACTAAGGGTGCTGTGAGCTAAATGTCTCAATAGGAGTCTTTCAGACTTTTTTTTTTTACTCATCATCTTGGGAGTGAGTGTCTTGAAGTTATTGATAGCAGTGGGGGTTTTCTGGCCCCACCTCCCAGGGCTGAGGGCATGCCCTTACCCAGCACCTGAGGGGCTGGCCCACAGCCTGCTGTCCTGACACGCTGTGGATGCTGCTTAATGGCGCTACAGTTCAGCCTCAACCACTTACACGTTTGGGGTGCCTGAATGAACAAAAAGCCAAAATGGTGGTGATTTTCAGGGCCTCTCACCTCCTGTGTGGTAACAGTGGGGGGTCCTGCACAGCTGTTGCTGCTTCAGGATCCCCTGGGGCCCTGTGGTAATGAATAGATAAGAACTGTTGGCAGTTAGCATTAGCTGTTCCCACTTAGAGATGCTGGAAGTGTTTGCTTGGTTTATTCTCGAGTTTTTACTTGGTTCCCCACCCTGACTCCATCTTCTCTCTACACCAAGTCTGGGTAAGGCTGCTAATTAGTTCTTTCTAGGATGAGCGGGTTTGTTGCTGAAGCAGAGGTAAATGCCAGCACTGCTGGGGGGACTGAGTTTAATTTGGAGACTGTGAACTGTGTGCAAACTCGAAGAGGGTGAGAATGGCAGAGCCGTAGAGTTCATTGAATTAATACTTAGCTCAGGGGCTGACAAGGCCCAGTCCCAGCCCAGACCCAGTGCCTCCTGGCAGCACTGGGAAGAAAACCAAGCTCTAGGGCCTCCCCGGTGGCGCAGCGGTTGAGCGCTGGGTTGCGAAGCTGCCCGCGGCCTCTGCGGCACCGGTTCGATCCCCGGCTGCTCCCCGGACACCGGAGGAGGGTCCCACATGGCGCGCAGACCTCTCCTGCCGCCCGCTGCTCCCCTCAGCAGTGTACTTCGGTCCTTCTGCCTGCTCTGCTCCCCGCGCTGGCTCTGGTGAATTCTCTCACCCTCCCGTGCTTCTGACTGTACCCAGTGCATGTATAAACAAAACAAACAAACAAACAAATAAAACATGCCTCTATAAAAAAAAAAAGAAAACCAAGCTCTAAACCCTTTAAAATGCCATGCTGGACAGGACCGCAAAGGGCATATGGTAAAAGCCCCCACCTCTCACTGCTCTTTCTCTAACCTGGTCCGTGCCTGGGTTCCTTGGGTCACAGGGAGCTCCCCACCTCCCAGAGCCGCAGCATCTGTTGCTGGGTTCTGACTCAGTTTTTCTTCCTGGCTGAACTGAAAGCTGTCGCCCTCTAACATCGCTGCCCATTTATGTCGGCTCTTTCCTCTCAAGCCAGGCGAGTGAACTCATTTCCTCTTTCCTCCGAGAGCCCCCCAGAAATTGAACTCTGCTTCTGTACAATCACATTTTCTAGCTGGAAGGAGCAACAGACAGTAATTGGTCCAGCTACAGAGGAGGAAGCTGAGACACAGAGCAAGAGGGACTTGCCTGAGGTCTCTCCGTGACTTGGTGGAGAAGGCGGTGCTAGGACTCAGATTTTGTGCTTCTTGCTTCAGGAATTTGCAGTGACTTTATGCTGGGGGGCGCTTGGTCTGGTTGTGCAGGCTGTGCACTCCTCAACCCCAGGACCACATTCATCTCTCAATCTCTATGTGGTGCCCCTGGGATTGTGCAGTATGCTCATAGGCAGAGGCTCTGTGGTTTTATCAGTATTTTGTCCAAAAAACAAAACAAAACAAAAATCTCTCCACCCAAACTAACACGACAATAAGGAAGAAAAATACCCAAGAAAATGCCCATGCCACCGTACCCTGACTGTGTGCCAGACTCTCTGCTGGGTGCCATCCCTGCATTAGCTCACATTCAGTTCCATAGCCTGGGGCTAGGATGAAGTTCCTGTCCAGCAGACTCTGAATGTCAGAAGTGTCATTGTCCCACCTCTGATGCTGTTTCACTGAAGGCCAGACTGGCAGGGATAAATCTCCCAGGCAGGAACCACATCCTCCTGGACATCAATCAGTGAGCAAAGCTTTCTTCCGTTTTCCTGCAAGAGACAGATGGAAGCAAAGGGGGAGAAAAGTCCCTGCTTTGGGCTGGAACAGGTCTGGGCAAGGGAGGTTGCAGACATGAGTTGAGAGCACCAGGGACTGCTGTGCAAAGGAGGCCTGCATGGGGGGCTTTGAGAATGCTGCTGATCTGAGACCTGCGCCTGGGGTGCTGGGGTCGGATGAGACAGGACAAGAGGGTGGGGAGGCACTTCCTTCCTCCTTCCGCCACTTGTCCTGCTCCACACCTTGCTCCAGTGCAAGGATCAAAGGCTGAAGCCAAAATAAATAGCAATAGTCCTGAAAGAGCCCGGGGCAGGGCCCTGGGAGATGTGGGCTCAAAGCCCTCCTGTCACCGCCTGGCTATGGAAATGACCAGGCCAGTGTGGCCGCGCGCAAGTGGTTGAGATTGGAGCCGATCCGAACTTTCTGTGCCACCTTCACTTGTTCTGTTATCCCGCCGCCGCTACCACTTACTTGTGTTTTTCTTTAAGTCCATCCATCTTTTTGACCAAACAAGAGTATATCTAGAAAGGAAATTTTAAGTCATTACTGGGACATGGGAAAACAGTATCCATGGCTGTAATTAGAAGCCGGTCTCCCGCACCTCTCCCTGTTCAGCAGAAGACCGGCCCCCACACCAGGCTCCACTTTGCTGGCGGTTTTAGTTTTCCTTGTGCCTCACCAGGGGCGCGCGGCGGGCGGGTGTAAGACGCTATCTTCAGCAGCGCGCGCTGGGTGTTTCGTCCACACTTGTTAGCCACCCGTCTGGTCGAAGCACTTCACAGACTTGGGTTCGTCCCGTGTCTCATTTCAGTCCCCATAACTGGGTGTTTGTTTTTTGCGTGACGATGAGTCTGCTGCAGTCACCCAGCATCACCCATCTGCGCAGATCCCTGGTGCCGCCTTCCCCCATCTTTTCATTAAGAACAAACTTACAGAAAAGTGGAATGTTCCTACAGTGAGTCTCGACATGATTGCTGACTGGCTTGTCCATTAACACACTCCTCCTCCAGCGCCTTCTCCCTCTGCGGCCACGGGGGTCTTGCTGCATCCATGGGGCCCGTCTGTGCAGCAGACAGGGCCTGTGCTCCCTGAGCGCCGTAGGTGAGCATGTGGACTTTTGAACCAAGCTGCCTGGGGTTCAGCAGCACCCCAGCGCTCTCTGTGCATGGCGGGGGACAAGCTGCTGGCCTGCCTGTGGCTCAGGTCACCTGAAAAGGACAGTGATGGTAGGTCCTGCCTCCTAGCACCCTGGAGACTGCGTGCGTTCATCCAGCACGTGGCGGGACGTGTGAGCACAGTCTGTCACTAAGCGGGTGGTCAGTGGTCGCTGCAGGGTCTGGATTGCATCCCAGACAGGTGGGTGGGCACCTGGTCCTGTCGCTGGGGGTATCTCTTTCTCTTTCTCTCAAGACTCTTCTTCTGCATATGTTGCCTGGAGTTCAGGACATCACATCAGTGTTGTGAACTTCTCCGCTGCACCCACATGGCCACTACCCCTGCATGCGGCAGGGTGAGGTGGCAGCAGCAGCGGGCGGTGCTGGTTTGGAGTCCTCAGCAGCCTCTTCCACCGAGGCCAGAGGGTGCGGGCACCCTGGGAGTCCATAATCGTGGTAGTAGAAACGCCTGTCTCTGTGACTGGTTCTAACCAGGACTGCACTTGTCATGCGTGCTTAGTTAGGCATTGAGGCGTTCCCAGTCCCGCTTTCCAGGTGAGGCTGGGTGCAGTGAAGTCCCCGCCGCTGTGCAGGCAGCAAGAGACCAAACCTAGGTTCTGGCCCAGGACTTTGTGACTCTCAGTCCAGAGCTCTGTCTGCTCTGCCCCGCAGTTGCAAGATGCCAGCTCTCTGGTGGTCCTCGTCCAGACTATGAGCATCTCTCTTGCAGGACACTGGCTGGCACAGCCACCCCCAAGAATGTCGCCTTTGCTCACTGGTTCCGAGGGCACAAGGGAAAGTGGAAGGGCACTTTCCTGACTTTTCGGACGACTGTGGGGTCTGCTGCTCCCTTCGCAGCTCCTCAGAGAGACTGACAAGCAATGCTGGCGCGTGCCAGAGGGTCACCCGGCTGTCTCACCCTCCCTGGGGACCCTGTGGGGGACCCTGGCCCTCCTGTGGCAGCTGTGACACAGGGCAGCTGGGGCTCTGGGTTAGGAGCGGGCCGTATCTTTGGAGCTGAGCTGCTAGTTAGAGGGGCCACAGATGGTTCAGCCCAGTCCCACAGCTGTAGTGCTGTGCCTTCTGGAGAGAGTGTGAGGTCCGAGTCCAGCCTTGGGGATGGTCTGCTCCCTGCCCTGCTGCTGGTCATTGTTGGAATGCAGCAAATCCACGCACTCAAGTCTGAGTGTGGGACACGGTATACATGTGGGAGAGGACACGGAGCAAGAGCGTCCAGGTAATTGTGACTCACTGAGGACGGCCCTCTGAGAAACGGTGATTCTGGGTCAGGATCTGCATCCAGTGAAGTATGGAGAGAAAGTGGG